ATACATACATACATACATATATATATATATATATATATTACATGAGATGCACATGACAGATGAGGTCCCACATATGCCGACTTGGCATCAGTTATTCAATTTTCAATGCGTATATACAATATATATTGTATCTATAACACTTATAAATTATGTGGGATGCACATGACGGGGGAGGTCCCACATATGCAGACTTGGTATCAATTATTCCAGTTGGATTGAGCATATTTAATTAACAACCTTGTTTTGGACTTGGAACTCGGCTCATTAGCACCATTTAGCCCATTTACATTTTTCTATATATGTGTGTGTGAGTTTCATTCACAATAAGGTATATTTTCTAACCTTAGCCAAATCCTCGTTCCCGTCTCTTGTATTCATTTTTTTTTTCATGTGACTATTGACTTTCTCGTCGGAGTACAAATGGTCGCCAAAACCTTTTCTTAACCCACGACATTTTCCTTCTAACAGAGCGTTCAGTGTGCAAATGATGTCTACGTGGAGAAGAAGTGACCAAAATTATGTTGACGCATATTTTGAGGTCAACAGACTATTGTGATACTAATTTCTTAGGATCATTATATTATTGCTATTGGCATATGCATCATATTACTATTGCCAGTTACGCATGTCACATCATTGCTAGCATATCATGACACTAATTTCACTATGTCAGTACGCATGCCACGTTAGCTACATTATCATTTTATAGACATCATGTCACTTGCTTCGCACTCGCAAGTTTGATCACAAATGGAACCCAATTTATTTTTTATATATTCAGTGAATATATCGTATTGTATTACAAGTTGGTTGAGTCTATATTACAAAGGAGATGCTGTTAAAATTTGTACAAATTATATGCAGTATCTATCTTTTGAGGCAATTTGTAAGCTTTCCCTTATTCAAGCTTACACACATATTTTTGAGGCTTATGTTCTCTAGCAATTCGTAAGTCTTTATATATTTAGCATATGTTTTCAAGGCAATTCGTAAAACCTCACCTGCTTGATATCGATATATATTTTTTAGGTAGTTCGTAAGTCCTCGCTTATTGAAGTTACTCATATTTTTGAGGTTATCCATAAGACATTGTCTACTTGACTACTTATATTTCGAAGTCCGACCTGCACATGAATGTACGACTTAAACTTAAGGGACTATTGTTACACTTATAAATTACGTGGAATGTACAAGACATAGGAGGTCCCACATATGTCGACTTGGTGTCAGTTATTCAATTGGATTGACATATTTAATTAAGCAACCTTGTCTTGGGCTTGGAACTTGGCCCGTTAGTACCATTTGGCCCATTTACATTTTTCTATATATGTGAGATTCATTGACAATAAGGTATGTTTTCTAACCCTAACCAAATTCCCATTCCCTTTCCCTCTCTTGAACTCATTTTTTTTCGTCTAGTTGTTGACTTGACCCTTTTCTTGACCATCAACTTTTGCCTTCTAACGCATTGTTCAATGTGCAGGTGATGTGTGGCGAAAGGTGGCTGGAATTCTGTTGGCGTATTTTTTGAGGTCAAAATTACTTACTTTGTGTAAATATTCTGGCATAGGAAAATGCAATTTATAGAACGTATGTAGCCATTATGGCAATCTAAGAACTTCTTCATGAACAATGGTGACTATTCAAGCATCCTCCTAAACGAAAAGAGGTTTATATTATAATATCATTTTGTGTCTCATGAATGATTTCAATTTCGTTATATGAATCAATACAATTTTCGTACTTGAACGACATCCATGTCTTTTTTGTATATCAAGAATGATTTCAATATCGTTATGTAAATCAATGCATTTTTCATGCTAGAATGACATCTGCGTCAATTATTACGAATATAAAAGTAATTTGTCTGTAATGTGAAAAAATAAACACAGCAATGTAAAACAACTTTAATTTTGTTCCAATAATATAAAAGAGACAATAGCACAATACAAAATCTAATAAATCATTTTGTGCTTCCAATAAGTACAAAATAATAAAGTTACAAGTCACGACAATGTTACAATCTTAAGTTTCACTACCAATTTGACACGTACAAATAGAGTGAACATGACTAGTTTTCTTGCAATTGAAACCTTAGATATTGTAGGGACAAGAGTTGACATCTCGACTTTGTATAGCATTGAACCAACCTTCAGCATTTCTCTGAGTTTATCATATAAGTTCACACAAGAAATTGTTTTTGAAACAAGAATATGCGTTGTTTTTCCTTTGCCATCTCCTGCATATTTTCATTTTTTTGCACCTTCAATTAACTGCTAATATTCCACTGGATAACAAACTAATATCCATATCATATTCACTGTGTCCATAACTGCAATTTAACATAAAATAAAAATTTTAAAATTTCATCAAATATCAAATTTTCGTGCAGTACTGATAACGATATATATGTAATAAAAATAGGTTAGACGAAGAAATTATTATTGACAAATGAACACTATAAACACACATACAGTTACACGAAGAAATTATTCAGAAAAATTGAAAAAGAAATAAGCTCAAGTATAAAAAATTAAAAATATTATTTCTTCTCCAAATGTTCAACAAGAATGTTATAAGCTTTGATTACCCACTTTAACCAAATGATTGCTCGATGGAATGAAAATGTAGATTTTATGGTTTCATAAAGTAGAAAAGATGATGATAAAAAAATGAAAAAGGGTTCATAAAAGATATCAAAGCAGGTTGGGGAAGAAATGAGAGTTGAAATTCAATTAGATTTAAATGAAAATTGAAATGGGAATTAGGGCAATTAATATTTTTTTGTACTTACAAGGACATTTTAATAATTTACAAATTCTATTTTTCATTTCTTTGTATATTCAGGGTATCTAACTAAAAAATATAGGGGTTGATCTTTATAAATTAATTTCTTGGCTTTTAAATGAAACACAATCCTTGCCCCATATACCATGAAATGAAAGACTCTTAACACGATAGCACAGTTGCATTTGACTTCTTAAAGAGAATGAGGAAATTACACTAGACCAGGTGTTTAGTTTTAACTTTCTAAAAATCAGGTTTTGATTTTTTTTAAAATAATTATTAATAATGTTATAAAATAAAAATAATATATTATACCCACCATACTACCTACCCCCACCAATAAAACCCGAATTATATCCAAACCCTAACATAATCCATTTCATTTCAGTTCTCTCAACTTTTCTCTCCACC